TAGAGATGAGGTCTCGCTGCCCAGGCGGGTCTCGAACCCGCGGGCTCAGGCCATCCACTCACCTCAGCCTCCCAAAGGCGCGGGATTACAGGCTGAGCCACCGAGCTCGGCTTTTCTTCTGTATTTTAAAATAAAAGGCATTTTCTGCTACTTCTTAATATTTTCCAGTTTCAGATAGTATCTATTGACTTTTTTCTGTGGCAGGTGAGGATTTTTGTATCCCATATACCTCTTCTACACAAGTTCACTTTACTGTATCTAATTATGCTTACATTAAAAAAGACAGTGAAACTCCAACTGAAAAAAAATAGTTGATTATTTATTTACATTAATCTTCATTATATTAATGTCGACATTCTTGCTAATAATTACATTATTGCACACAAGGTAATATTGCTTACATTATTAGGGCTAGGGATTATTATTACAGGGCTATCCCCTGTGGATGTAATTGTTGTGTCTTGTGGAAAGGCTTTTGAATAATCTATTTAGAGGAAGTGGAGGGTTTGTAAAATTAGAAATTTAGGAGGGAATGCCTTTAATTTTTACAACTGAGGGATATCCATTTTTAACCATGTAAGACTAAGAATATCAAAATTGTGTCAAAAATACAAAAATGTATTTTCTTAGACCTTTTTCTTTTACCCTGGAATTAACTGTGTAATCACTCATTCAACTAATATTTACTAAATCCTTTTATGCTCTTTTCCAGAAACTAGTGTACAGAATTGAATAAAAGACAAAGTTCCTGTCCTCTTGGAGCATGCAGATTGGGGGAAATAGATGAACAAATGAAGAGAATTCATGGAATAGCAAATACTATGAAGTCAAATTCACTATGATATAGAGAATTGAAAGCACTAGAGGCAGGAAGCACAGACTGCGAGTGATTTTGCAATGTCTGTTCTCCTGTACCCCAACCATTTCCACGAACTTTTAAAAAATTAATAATAGAACCTCTGCAGCTTGGTGGGAAAGAATGGAGGAGGCATTGCTCCCTTCTTTCTTTCTTTCTCATTTCGGCTTGCTGGAATATACATGAAATAAATGCCTTGGGTTCTTGGACTGTGAGATAGAAGTTATAAGAGTATGCTGAAAATGATGGAAAGTGAAAAGCAACCTCAGTTTTGACACCACATTAGGAGCCCTGAATTGCCCTTCTTTGGACTCTGTTTTTTTTTTTTTTCTTTAAACGTGTTATCACCTTTACCTTCTAGTTTAAGGCAATGCTATATAACGTAAACACTTTTAATCAACTTGAGGGTGAAAATTTTTTCTGTTTGCACTGTTTCCCTTATACCTACCACTTATTAATCACCAAATAACTTGCCAAGAGTATAAATTTTCTTTCTGACTAATTAGAACCATTAGTCAGTTTATCAGTTTCTTCTTCTGGAGTGAGCCTTTCTGAAGTCCTAGTTATTTTGCGCCTTTGTGAATTAGCTCTCTAAGATGTCATGGCAATAATTCTAGGATCACCTTTCACTGATATGCTGGAGACTCTCATTTGCCTTGCGTCAAACACCCTGTTTCAAGATCTGATGATAGCTTTTTTTTTCCTCCTAAATTTTAGGAGAGGATATATAGGAATTAAACTTTTTATCTCTAAAAATGCCTCTATTTTACCAACATTGAGAAACCACTAGCAGATTCATACTTTGGATGGGCTTAAAATTCTATGTTGAAAATCTTGCTCATATTTTAAGATAATTCTCCATTATGTTATATAGTCTAGTGAGAAATGCTTGTTTTTTACTCTCTTTGGAAGCTTTTGTGTTTTTGTCCTTATTCTAAAATTTCACAGTGATGCATCTTGGAGAAGCTGTTTTTAAAAATCTATCATGCCTCATTTTGTAGACATCTGGACACTCCTTAATATAGAAAAATGTATTGATTTACTATGTAATGATTGGATTTTTTTTCTTTTTTGTTCTTAATTATTTATGTTGTTTGAACATTACACCTCTACTTGATTCTTTAATTTTACTACTTTTTTTTTCTTTCTCTGTCTAGTTGGTTTTTTTTGGGGGGGATTACCTCAATTTTATCTTTTAACTCATCTATTTAACTTGTTAACTTCTACTTTCACTGTATTTGTTTTCAAGAGCTTCATTTTGATCTCTCCAAAATATTTCTTTATTTTCCTCTCTCTTCAGAAATAGCATCCTCTTTTTGCTTTGTGGGTTCAATATTTCTGAGCATTAATTAATTACAACAATTACAGATGTTTTAGGTCTACTTTCTGCTTTGTTAAAGTTGGTGATGCTTTCTATCTATTTGATTTGTTTTCTGCCTTTGGTACTAAAGTTTTTCTCTGCAATATTCTTGTATTTGTAATTTTTAGTAATCAGCTTATATTTTGGAGTGAGATAATAAAATTGAAAGGCTGTTTGAACATGGGTGGTGTCTGTTGAGTAGCGTGTTCCACTGTAGGATTTTCTGAATGGGCTTTTTTACTGAAGGACCTTCCCATCCCATTAATTACTATCTGTAAGTAATTTTTGTTAGTCTAATTCGTTGCCCTTTGTGAAAACTTACAGTGTCCCATGTTGGAGGTATAAGCCTTGCTTCAATCTCCTGTGACTGAGGATGGAAGGAGGCTATCTCAGTATTGGGAAGATAGCCATTCATTTAATTTATTTAAGACAGGTCCTGACCCTTTCAGCTCTATATGATATTTCTGCATGTGATTCAACCTTTCAAGAATATATATTAATTAGGACTGGCTAAACTGCTGTAACACATACAGGCGATACTCCATCTCCATGGGTTTTGTATCCAGGGATTCAACCAACTGAAATAGAAAATATTCAGAAAAAAGTAATAGAAATTAATAAAAAGAGTATAACAACTATTTTCATAGCACTTACATTAGGTATTATAAGTAATCTAGAGATGATTTAAAGTCTACAGGAGGATGTGTAGGTTATATGCAATACTACTCCATTTTATGTAAGGGACTTGAGCATACACTGATTTTGGCATCTGTGGGGGGTGGGGGGTGGTCCTGGAGACGACTTTAGACACTAAATGGATATTGTCTCAAACACAATAAGATATCTCATTCTTTAAGAATCTAAAGTGGGTTTTCCTAGTCAGAAGTCAGCTCTTCTTTACAAGGTGAATTAAGGACACAAGCCTCTTTTTTTTTTTTAAACGCTCTGGCTTTGCCTTCTCTGCATCCTCTTCATTAACTGCATCCACCCAGCAGAAAGGTAGAGGGAACATCCAAGACAAAAATGCTTTCAAATAGTGAGGAATAAAATTTGTGGCTACAATTCAGAGAAGGAAAACATTGTGCTACTAGATGCCTAAGCCAATTACCTATTTACTTTCTCATAGGTTTCAATTATCTTTGAAACTCTGAGTTAAGTGTTGTCTCCCATTTTATAAATGAGAAAGGTGGAATTCTGAGAGATAAACCCTTTCTCAGGTTCATTGCTGCTAAGTGGCAGTCAGTGTTTGAAATTAAAATCAATTCGCTTTTCCATTTATTTTTAAAAGATGTGATCTTCAAGGTAGTTTTAGATTTGTGGTAGAAGAAACCTTTTAAACAGCATTGAAAAATAAATTTTAAATTTTCTGTGACCTTTTGGTCCCAAAATTCCTAAACTGCCTCAAAAATACATAGGAATAAGTATTTTGAAAATTGTTGCTGCATATACTAAACTTCTGGCAAGTACAAAAGGACTGGTAGTCCAAAGCTACATAAATCATACCAAAAACCTGCACTATTAAAATAGACTAATGTGTGATAGAATAACTGGGTAGTTACTTTAGATTAAATAGACTGTCTACCTAAGAAGGTAACACAAAACACTTTTCACAGGCACAAAAATGTATACAGGCACACCTCATTTTATTTTGTTTTGCTTTATTACAGTTTGCAGGTGGTGACTTTACAAATTGAAGGTTTCTGGTAATAACTCTATGTCAGGAAAGTCTATTGGAGCCATTTTTCCAATAGCAGGTGTGCTGTTTAGAGAATAATGACAAGATGAAAAAGTCTGTTCATGTGCAATACAGACACCAGCCATTTTTTTCCTGAATATTTTCTATCAGCAGTTGGTTGAACCCAGGAATGC